TCGAGCTCAAGTCCTTGCGACTTTTGAAAGCAGCGTGCTCTGCGGGCTCATGTTGCCGAGTCTCTGACTCATGGCTCGCTCCTTCCTCTCAACCGGCCTGACTTTCGGCGGGTCCGCAAGCCCATCATGCTGGACGTGCGGACCACTGAGCAGCTCGAGAGGAAGCAACGCATCGATCGGGAACGCCGTGCCAAGTCCAAGCACATTGAGCAGTTGGATGTCATCTGCGAACATGGCAAGCAAGTCATTGCTGTCAATAGAGCGGCCCAGGACAGAGTCGTGCGGCTCGGTCGGTCGGTGCTGGCTTTCCATAACACAACAGAGAAGGAGGAGCAGAAGAGATGGAGAGAATCGCGAAGGAGCGTATCAAGGCGCTCAAGGCCGACGATGAAGAGGCTTACATGGCCCTCGTAGACAACGTCAAGGACACGCGTATCACCCATCTTCTGCGCCAGACCGACTCATATCTCGACTCTTTGGCGCAGGCCGTTGCCTCTCAGCAGAGTGACCTGCCCTGGAACCCGGTTCCGGTGTCGGGTACGAAGGTGCATCAGAAGAGATGTTCGGAGCACGCATCTCAGCCGAAGATGCAGCGGAGAAGACTTCCTCCAAGACCGACTACTACGCTGTTGCTCATCGCATCACCGAGAAAATCACTAAGCAACCATCTATCCTTGTTGGTGGCACTCTGAAGGAGTATCAGATGAAAGGCTTGCAGTGGATGGTCAGTTGTATAACAACAGGCTCAATGGGATTCTAGCAGACGAGATGGTGTGTTATACTGTGTCGGTGTGCTGTCGGCTGAAGCTAATGCTCTCTACAGGGTCTCGGCAAAACTATCCAGACAATCTCTCTCATCACATTCCTGATCGAATCTAAACGACTGCACGGCCCGTACCTTGTTATTGTTCCGCTCTCTACCATGACGAACTGGTCCGGCGAATTCGCCAAATGGGCGCCAGGTGTCAAGGTTGTATCTTACAAGGGCAATCCAGCACAGCGACGTGCACTTCAAGGCGAACTGCGAGTGGGGCATTTCCAAGTTTTGTTGACCACCTACGAGTACATCATCAAAGACCGGCCCATTCTCTGCAAGATTAAGTGGCTTCACATGATTATTGGTATGTGTGTTCTGATGGAGAATGGATAATGTGCTCAACTGACCCGTACTCCAGATGAGGGCCACCGTATGAAGAATACGGAGAGCAAATTGACTGTGACGTTGACGACATTCTACCACTCGCGGTATCGTCTGTTGCTCAGTGGAACACCGCTTCAGAACAACCTGACAGAGCTGTGGGCCCTGCTCAATTTCGTGCTGCCCAAGATCTTTAACTCGGTGAAATCTTTCGACGAGTGGTTCAACACGCCCTTTGCCAATTCGGGGACTGGGGACAAGATCGAGCTGAACGAAGAAGAGGCTTTGCTCATCATTCGTCGATTGCACAAGGTGCTACGGCCTTTCCTGCTGCGACGGCTCAAGAAGGATGTCGAGAGCGAGCTTCCGGACAAGGTCGAGAAAGTCATCAAGATCCGGATGAGCGCCCTACAGAGTCAAATGTACAAGCAGATGAAAAAGCATAAGATGATCGCCGACGGTACCAGCAACAAAGATGGGTATGCACTTTCCGGCTTTCTGACTATATGAACTGACTCCGTGGCAGGAAAGTAGGCGGTGTGAAGGGTCTCAACAACGAAATCATGCAGTTACGAAAGATCTGCCAGCATCCATTCTTGTTCGAGAGTGTCGAAGACCAGATTAACCCCAGTGGCCTGATTGACGAGAAGATCATCCGTACGTCTGGCAAGATCGAACTGCTGAGTAGGATTCTGCCCAAGCTCTTTGCAACGGGGCATCGAGTGTGTTCATTTTTGTTCTCATCTGGTGTAGCGCCATTCAACGTGTTTCCAGGTTCTCGTGTTCTTCCAGATGACCAAGGCTATGGACATCATGGCGGACTTCTTAGGCATGATGCAGTGGAAGTTTCTCCGTCTTGACGGAGGAACTAAGACCGAGGAGCGAGCCAATTTTGTGCAGCTGTTCAACGGCTCGGAAGAGTACAAGGTTTTCATTCTGTCAACGCGTGCCGGAGGTCTGGGTCTCAACCTGCAGACTGCGGATACGGTCATTATGTGGGTTCTGACGTGGTGGCCATATGGCAAGTGAGCTGACTTTTTTGTGCAGCTTCGACAGCGATTGGAATCCTCACGCCGATCTACAAGCTCAAGATCGTGCGCATCGTATCGGACAGACCAAGGCAGTGCTCATTCTGCGCTTCATCACCGAGAAGAGTGTCGAGGAAGCCATGTATCAGCGGGCCCGATACAAACTCGATATCGACGACAAGGTTATCCAGGCGGGCCGGTTCGATAACAAATCGACCCAAGAGGAGCAGGAAGAATTCCTTGTAAGTCCTGTTTCCTGACATACAGACTGGTGTGTTAACGACACCGTGCGTGCAGCGGTCCATTTTGGATGCCGATCAAGAAGAAGAGAACGAGGAAGCTGGTGATATGAACGATCAAGAGCTAAACATACTGCTCGCACGGTCGGAGGAAGAGGGCGAGATCTTCCGCCAGATGGACAGCCAGCGGGAACGTGAGACGTTGGAGAACTGGCGTGCTCAGGGTCACCGGGAAAGCCTCCGCCTCCGTTGATGCAGTTCGAGGAACTTCCCGAGTGCTATCAGAAAGAAGAGCCGTTTGAACCGACGAATACTGACGAGACGATCGAGGGTCGCGGTCAGCGTCGTCGGAATGTCGTCAGCTACAATGACGGGCTGGATGACGAGACATGGGCTATGGTGCGTTTTCTGCTATCGGTGGAACTGCTTCTCACCGTGAGAACCAATAGGCTTTGGAAGAAGGGGAAGATCTGGAGGAACTTGCTGATCGGACTCGCAAGAGAGCTGCCGCTGCCGTGGTCCCAGTCTCTGGCCGAGGCACGCCTATGTCCGACATCGATTCTTCACGTGGCAGGAAAAAGAAGGGGCGAGGTCGACCACCCCTCCACGACTTCGAGTCGGGTCCCGGCAAGCGCAAGCGTGGTCACAAGTCCATGTCGGTAACCCCTTCCGTTGTCGATGATGATGACGACGAGCGTCAACCAGTGAGGATTTTTGTTGTTGACCGTTGGAACAATTCTCATTCACTTCAGAAACGACGCAAGGCCCCGACTGCCAAGGCGGCCGGTAATGACGTGCCTCCACACATTCGGGAAAAGATGAAAAAAGTCTTCAATGAATGTTATAAAGCTGTCATGGCTTGTGAAGACCACGACGGTCGGAAGCGTTGCGAATTATTCAAGGAAGTGCCCGATAAAACTGTGTGTACAGTGTTATATTTATTCCACGCGGAATAGTCTTGACCTTTGCTAGGATTATCCGGACTACTACCAATTGATAACGCAACCAATCGCGCTTTCGCATTTGCGCAAGCGAGGTCAGACGACGTACTACAAGGATGTGCAGGCCTATCGGAATGACTGGGCGCTCATGTTCAATAATGCGCGGACTTACAACCAGGAAGGCTCGTGGGTCTATGTCGATGCTGTGGAGATGGAGAAGGTCCTCGACGCGACATTCAAGCGACTGACAGTCGGCACAGGACTGCCTGGCGCTGAGGGTTCCGGTCCATCCGGGTCTGGTGGGATGTATGATACGGCTCTGACGCCCATGGAAGATGAGGAACGACCACCGCCGCCGTCCAGAGGTCGCAGCCGACGTCAGGTCATCAGCGACGAAGAGTATCTGACCCCGAGCGACGATGATTGAGATCTACCTATGTGCTGTGTCCTCTGCTCTCTTTTCTGTATCTCGCACTTGTGTTATATAGGTACTTTGAATTGTAATTACATTGAAGAACCGTTCAGATATGTCTGTACAACTCGCTGCTTACCAGCCATCTGACGTCAGCAGATTGGAAAGCCATCTTGAATGTTCCCACGAGTCTCACTCATCAGGAACCTCGCACCAGTCCCTTCTCAGGCGGCACTCCGTCAAGGCGTTTCGATGTTATGAGCACAGCACTGCCCTCTTCACAAGACTTCCTTCATATTTCTCCCTCAGCACCTCGGACTGAAGCAGAAGCAGAGGGCCTCACCACCACCAGTGCGAATAGCACCGCCATAGCAGTGAGGGAAGACACACTGAGCGCGGATGCAGATCCCACCCTCATACACCACACGCTCGACGAAACCACGCTCAGCTTAGATGACAGCCAGACGTTTGCCCAGGAGAGTCTTTTGGGAAAGGGGGAGGAAGGTCTGACTATGCCGCCTGCACGCGCGAATCTGGAGCACGAGCTGAGGTTTGCTGGGGAGAGGTCAGATGACGAGGACGGGCACGAGGATGTGCTGGGTCTTGGTGGTGGCGATGGTGGTGAAAACGTGGTGGTGATGGACTCGCTTGGCTCAGCTGAAGTCCGCGCGCCTGGCGGTCGCAAAAGGTCGGCCAATGCCATCAACCTCGACGCGAAGCTGTCGCCACAGCCCTGGGATCTGGTCGAGCCCCCGGCAGATAATTTGAGGACGAATGACGAGTATTATCGCGGCAAATTCAGCGCGATGCAGAGTTCGTGCGTGAATACTCCCTGCGACTCCATAGTTTAGCTCTGACATTTGTGTCGCTTGCAGCCCGGGACTGATCCCGCACTCCTCTTACTACTTTGGGCCGCCACCTCCGGACTCTGCGTACGGGACTGCGCCCGTGGGACAGATTGGCGTGCATCATCCACGAGAAATTCTGCGTGTGGAGCGTGATTATACTGGCGGCGAGCTGATACAATTTGCGCCTATCTACCCGCTGGAACTAGAGGGCCGCGTGAGTTCCATCTGTGTTAAGCGCTAGCCTGTCACCCCTCATCTGTCGCAGATCACGCCGACTCAGTTTCTCGAGAGCATCAACGCAATCAACGAGCAGCTCATTACTGTGCACAGCCTGAGATGGGCCTTTCTGGACAACGTGCTTGCTGTGATCTCGCTTCAGCTTTCCCGACTCGTTATTTCCTCGCATTATGAAAGAGTACGGCAGCACGCGTAGCGAGGGGACATCACATCTGAAGCTTCATCTAGGAGATGCGTCGGCTGCAAAGGATCATCGGTGATCTGAACGCTCATGTGTACAACCCTGCCGGATTGAATATTCTTTGGCCGCGCAAAGTCGCGTTTCTATTTGTGATTGGCTACCCTTCCTTCCGATGTGTTCCCATGCTGATGTCCCCTAGATGGAGATTGAATACTATGTGCGGGCTCTTGCTTCTAAACATGCTGTCCTGTTTCATGTTTCTTTCAGTGATCGTAATGGGTATGTGCTAATCCCGGTCCGGCCTATGCAGCGCGATCGCAATTCTCTCCGGAATATTCCCTGATCGATCGGCGAGGCTCTTCTTTCGCGGAACCTCAAGAGTGGATGCAGTGCCGGCGCCCACCTCTCAGGGCTGTTTATTTGTCTTTTTTGTCTCATAGAGTAGCTCAGCCTCCACTGTATCGAGTCCATGGGGATGCGAGGCGATGGAATTTAATGGATCTTTGGCGCGAAGCTCGGCGCGGGACCGCTGGGACGCTTCCCCACGGTCGAGTCAGAGACATTTTGATAGCCGCCTGCGGAGGCATGCGCGTCCCCGGCCCAGCGTCGGCGCTTGAGCCATCTGATGTTGACAGGCGCCTATGATCCACTTTTGGCAGGTGACCAAACACATCGTTGCTTGGTAAGAAATTTCGTGGAGACTCATCCGTCCCTTCCCACTGCCTCCATCGAGCTCAGGCTAGTTCCCCGAGCCCACGATCCCTGACTCCCTCGGCCGGGCACCTCTACCTCTTATCACTACCGTCTTTCCTTCATCCGGATCCAATGGAGTCGTACTCAACAGATCTCACTCCGCTCTGGGATCTGTCTCAGGCCTCCTCCTTTTCCCAAATGACCGACGACGACTTTCTCGCGCTCCTTCAGAAACCCAACTACACCACCGCGCCATTCAACGCTGAATTCAGCATCCCCACCGGCGTCGACCCCCAATCCATCTCCCAGTATCCGCTCCCAAGCATCACTCCGCCCTCTACCGATAGCAGCCCAAGTCCGCCGCATCAGGACAACAGGAGTCCGGTGGAGGACAACGAGCTGAAGCGCAAGGCGAGCACCGAGGACTTTGACGACGATGGTCCCAGCTCCAAGAACCAGCACACCGGTATGCTGTGATATCCTGCTCGCTATCCCCTTATGCTCATCAAAGCGCAGCCAACGGCAAGAAGACGGGCAATGCCAGGCGGAAGTCCACGGGCGCGGTGGCAAACGCTCCGGCCGGTCCTGTGAGCATTTCGTCGTCGTTACGGGGCTTGCTTCCCTGACTGAGCTGTGTGACAGGAGGAGAACCGTCTGCTCAAGCGCAAGGAGCAAAACAGGGCCGCTCAGCGTGCTTTCCGGGAGCGCAAGGAGAAGCATGTCAAGGATGTGAGTGTCTGTTATCTGCGGGGCGAGCTATCATTCATCTGTCATCCGTCGTGAAGCTCGAGGACAAGGTTGCTGAGCTCGAGGCCAAGAACGACCAAGCCAACTCTGAGAATGAGAATCTGCGTGATCTACTCACGCGGCTCCAAAACGAGAATGTGTTGCTCAAGGGGCGAGCGAAGAATGCCGAGTTCACATTCTCTGTTCCAAGGTCCTCTGGCGGGTCCGCCGACGCAGGGAGCTCATCATCACTGTTTACCACACCCGCTTTGACGGCGATGTCTACCCCGTCGCCGTCCGCTTTATCCCCGACGCCCGGAAGCTCGAACCCGCTCGACTGGAGCTCGCTGACAAGCTTCGATCCGGCCGTGCTGAACCTGCTGGACGACACGCCCCAGCAGACAGCGACGGATGCGGCCATGTCGATGGACTTTGGCTTTGGTTCGCCCAAGCCAGACTCTGCGTCGAAGGGTCTCAATGGCTACACGACCATCGCCAGCAACCCTATGTTCACATCGTTTACGTCGGCCTTTGATCACCCAGCGCATCGCTCGCAATCGTCTGGCTCGAGCTCTGTCGCTGGCCCCAGTAACAGCAGCAGCCCCAGCATGTCTGCCAACCCGGGTGCTAACGCCTTCAACTTTGACATCAATTCTTTGTCCGCGTGGTCTACTCCGAACCCTGATGGGCAGTTTGACGATCTGTTCGGCGGAATAATGGGCAGTTCGATGGACTTTGAGCAATTCAATGTTCTCATGAACAGCCCGCCAGGGTCCTCCGTCAGCCCTGTTGCCCACCACGCCACGCTTCTCAATCGGTCGCCTGCAGCATCGATATCGTCGTCCACGTCGTCCAAATCGCCAGACCCTCTGTTCACCACCATTCGGGAGACCGGGTCTGACACCGATCTGGATATGGAAACCATGGGCGAGTGCCCCAAAACAAGAGAAGGTTTGCGGTCAGAGGTGACCACTCTCGGGTCTTCGCCATTTGCACCTCCGGTCGTCGCGGTCGTACGTAAACCTGGCCCAGGCGCTGCCTCGACGATAACATGTCAGGGTTCGTCCTTCCCGAAGACGGAGCGTAGCGAGAAGAACCTGGAGATACTCGAGGCCTGGCGGACTGTGACTTCCAATCCCGAGTTCCGGGTAAGTAATTTGATCAGTATCCCATCTGAAAGCCGACTGACGCGTGCCAGGATACGGATATCGCGGATCTGTGTTCGGAGTTTTCAGCCAAGGCACGTTGCGACGGGACCAAGGTCGTTCTGGAACCTGCCAATGTGCGCAACATCATCGAAGGGCTCGCGGTGAAGCATGGTCGACAGTAATTCCTCGCCGCTCGGCTCACACAGCCCAGATCAATCGCCAATCGCATGCTGCCTAGATGCTTCCCCTCCGCCGACGACTATAATTCTGCCATGTATCGATTTGTCCCTGTCCTCGAACTTGCCGCCGAATGGCTCGCAATCTGTACTACCACAGCCTGGAGGAGGACAGCAGCAGGTGCAGCTCTGCGTCTATTATACATACTCCGCTGGCGAATATTTGACTCGTTTCCCTGTATTTTTCGCTACTTATGTCAATGATAAACACAACCAGCACCTCTTGTTGCGAGTAGACTACCCTGCACACCGCATCCCATCGTCGGGTTGACTGACACAAAACAATAAACGCGGTCACGCTGGTCAGTGCGCTCCGTAACACGCGGAGTTTGAAACATTGCACTCAACAGCATCACGCGTGTGCTCAGCTGCAGTGCTTGTTTTTCTCCCCCCCCCAATTTCTTGCTCTAACTTGCTGTCGGCGTCTACCACCTCCCGAAATCATACATCATGCCCTATAGAGTCGAATACGCGTCCTCCAACCGTGCCAAGGTGCGTAGGCCATACACCTTTCGCTGCGTTCGCGACGAACAACTTACTGACGCGATCTCCAGTGCAAAGGTCTGTTTCTTGACGCTTTCATCTGGATCCTACACTCACGAAAAACGCTCTGATACCAGGCCAGAAACCATGCAAAGGTCTGTCGCGTGTGAAGGCCTTTTTGCCACCCAGCTCGCAGCTCATCGTGCGACAACAGGGACCCCGATTCTGAAAGGATCGCTGAGATTTGGCACTATTGTCGATGTGGGCGGTAACACATCGTTGTGCGTTGTCTGGCGCGCTGTGTCTATGCCTGTCTCGAGCTCATTCGTCGTGTCCACAGCGCATGGCGTCATTGGGGCTGTCTCACCGCCAAGGTCCTCGAAAACGTCAAGGTACGCAGGGGTCTGCTCTGGCTTGGTATTGTGCTGCAGCTGATGCGGCCGCGTAGAAGGAACACGAGGAGGCCTCGGAGCTCGATGGTTTCGAAGATTTGAATGAGGAGGACCAGGAGCGCGTCACCAAGGCGTGGGAGGACGGGCATGTGGCTGATGAGGACATTCCCGAAAGTGCGCGGAAGGACGGGGAGGGTGAGGAGGGCGAGGAGAAGCCCAAGAAGAAGGCCGCGCCGAAGAAAAAGAAGGCTGCTGACGAGGAGGAGGATGACGAGGAGGAGGAGGAGGAGAAACCCAAGAAGAAGAGAGCCGCTCCCAAAAAGAAGAAAGCTGAGGACGAAGGAGAGGAGGAGGTGGCGGAGAAACCGAAGAAGAAGAGGGCTGCTCCCAAGAAGAAGGCCGATGACGAGGAGAAGCCCGCTGAGGAGGATGAAGAGCCCAAGCCAAAGAAGAAGGCAGCGCCGAGGAAAAAGAAAACCGAGGGCGATGAGGAGCCCGAGCCCAAGGCAAAGAAAGCGTCGGCTAAGAAAGCAGCTCCCAAGAAGAAAAAGGTCGGTTTCCTGCGCACCAACTGGTGATTTTGTTCTGAGTCCCACTTTCAGAATGAGTCCGAGTCGGAGGGTGAAGATTTCACGAATGAAATGAACGATGTCAAAGCCGGTTCCGATGAGGAGATCTCTGAGGAGGAGAAACCCAAAAAGAAAGCGCCCGCTAAGAAAGCGGCGGCAGCGCCCAAGAAACGGGCCACCAAGAAGAAGGTCAGATTCTCTCTTATTGCGTGTACAATATCTACTGACCAATTCTACCTATGTAGGCCGAGTCTGACGAAGAACCGGCAGACGACGAGGAGGAAACCGGCAAGAAGCGCAAGGTTCGTACCGATCTTGTGTCCAAAGCGTCCAAGACTCACTCTGATATCCCTCAGAAACCTGCCAGTCAGAGTGCGAAACCGCCATCGAAGAAGGCTCGAGGCAAGAAGGCCAAAGCAGCTGAGGAGAGCGACATGGACGATGAGTGATTTCTCTCGGTCTAAATTATGTCTGTGGTCTTGGACTCTGTTTTCCTCGTTGCTAGTTCTATGAATCTTGATACCATACGGCTGTCTGTCTGTTTTCTGCTCTCTGCTTATCGGAACTATTCACGCTAAACTGTAACGCGCGCGTCTGTGCCGATCGCGTGACCGTGAAATTCGTCTCTTCCACCCACTACATGTATGCTCAACCGGATTCCTAAATTTTGGGACTTACGCCGGTGGCGACGCCCGACCCATGTGGAGATGAAGAAAGCGGGGCTTTGGGTTCTCTACGTAGGCGACCTCGTTACTGAGGAAATATCTCTCGATGGTGACTGTTGCACCCTTAGACCGGAAATGCGGCAGCTCTCCTGCATCTGGTGTCTATGAAGTTGTATATTGGTCCCGTAAGTATCATCCCGCACCCCGCCACTCAGTCTGAAATTCAATAACGTTTGCAGATGTTCGGACCGTCCATGCTACCTACGTTCGCCAACTCGGGCGACTTCTCTATGCAAATCGTGACGAGCGCAAGAAACATCCGCCGCGGGGACCTCGTCGTTCTCGAGTCACCCATCACGCCCCGCCGCTTCATCTGCAAGAGGGTCATCGGGCTGCCGGGCGACGTCATCTGCGTTGACCCCACGGGGGAGAAGGCGCCGTCCACCGAGCATGTCGTCGTGCCGAAGGGGCATTGGTGGATCATGGGGGACAACGCTGCGTACTCCCGAGACTCGAGGGACTATGGGCCGGTCGCCATGGGACTGCTCCGGGGGAAAATAATCGCTCGGGTGAGTTCAATTTGTGCTTCAAGAGAGGGCTCGTTGTGATCGTTGGCCAGGTCCTGCCTCTTTCAAAATTCACTATCTTCAGGAACGAAACCAACTATATCGAGTAGATTACAGCGCGGCGGATTCGATGTACGGAGAGGCGGTCGCCGTCATCTCTGGAAGTTCATTGAATAACCCCCTTGACCGTTTGGAACGAACTGGAAGTTGTCGGTGGAGAGTCCGAAGTTCCCTGGGTGACATAATCAGCGGAGGAGAGGCCGGGTCTGCAATCTAGAAGACGTACCCAGAATGCTATTCCCGATTCCCTTCAGCTTGCCCATCATCTCGTCCGTCTCTCGCTTCTGTGCTGCTTCATGCCTGGGCTTTAGCACAGCCTGGCTTCGCTCAATCTCTTTGATGAGTGCAGAGGAGGGCGGCAAGATCTTGAGGAGAGTGGTGTAGTCTATGCTCGTTGAGACTACGCCATGTTTCTTCCAATTCGGAGGAGCCCGTACCTTCCATCGCAGCAGTGAGCGAACTCCATGTATCGAGCGTCTCGTTCGATGCTGCTCGTCGTTGAAGTGCTTTGACGTAGTTGGGATCGTCCAGAAGAGCTGGAGATGGTCGGATGAGTTTCCAGTGGTAAACGAACGACATTGCACCGCGGACCTTGCGTGCAAGCGTCGACTACCGCTTTGTGGTCGCCCTGCCTTGCGGTTACGGATGCATGTTTGTTGCAGTGCTCGAGGAACGCACGAGCTTCAAGTAGCAGGCTCCGATGTTGGAGTTTAGCACCGATCGCGCCTTGGCGTACTCTAGTTCTTCTGGTGTGGGAGGTTCCGGTTGAGTTGGCTCTTGCGTAGTAGGAGGGTCGTTCTCATCGTCATCCACGTCGGCGTGTGCGTCTGCTTTCTCCGGCTTCTCTGGTCGTCGTGGTAGGGCCTCCAGCCCCGACTGATAACAGGATAATGCGCTGCTCCATGCTTTTGCTCGAAAGTGGTCGTTGCCCTGTGTCTTGAATTCATCTGCTTGTTGCAGTGCTTGCTGAGCGGTTTCAGAGGAGATCAGGCGATTCTGGTGAGCTCACAGAGACTACATTCACGGGTTCATCGTTATCGACCGTGTCGATGCGAGCCATTAGAGCAATCCGGAAATGAGAGGCGCGCCTGATGCACGGTCACGTTAGCTATTGGGCTTCGGCCGTGATCGGATCGGCTTGTTCGGACGCCAATTGAGGCGAGTGTGTTTTTCCTTTGCCCGAGTCACAGTTGACTTTTGCGACCGCAAAGCGGATTATCCACACTCTCATCGGTGCTCTGTTCAAAAGATCCTGATAAAGTCTCATCAACTCTCTTATCTCTAAACAACCGCCATCTGTCTATCAGCTGAACGGACCGCTTGGCCATCCCATCACACCAACGAAATGTCTACCTTCGGTACCCTCTTCCGTGTTACGACCTATGGCGAGAGCCACTGTGCATCCGTCGGGGCCATCATCGACGGGTGCCCACCGGTATTGCTTACACCAACGGCGGGATGTCGCATTCTAACGTGAAGTCAGGGTCTGGAGCTGAGTGCCGCAGATATCCAGCCTCAGATGACACGCCGACGCCCGGGGCAAAGCGATCTCACCACGCCTCGCAATGAGAAGGACGTGGTGCAGCTTCAGTCTGGCCTAGAACACGGTGTGACGCTGGGCACGCCGATCGCGCTGCTAGTGCGCAATGAGGACCAGCGACCGCACGACTATTCAGAGACGGACTTGTACCCCAGGCCGAGTCACGCGGATTACACCTACCTGGAGAAGTATGGGGTGAAGGCTAGCAGCGGCGGGGGACGGAGTAGTGCGCGGGAAACCATAGGTGCGGCGTCCGATCTGCTATTCCCGATGGTCTCAAACTTCCCGCAGGCCGCGTTGCCGCCGGTGCCATCGCTGAAAAGTATCTGAAAACAGCTTACGGGATCGAAATCGTGGCCTTTGTCACTTCCGTCGGAAAGGTGCAGTTGCCACCGAACCTCTCGCCGTGGACCGGTTTCCAGGATGAGGAGGATGATACCGTGGCTGACGTCGTGAATGCCGATTTCCACGAATTGCTGTCGAGCATCACCCGGGAGATTGTCGACAAGCATCCGACGCGCTGCCCCGATGCCCCCACGGCGGAACGCATGAAGCAGGTTTGCATGGATCGATCGCGTTCATGAGCAGGTTCTGACCCCCGATTAGCGTATCATCCGTGCCAAGGACGCCTCCGATTCAATAGGCGGGACGGTGACTTGTGTCATCCGCGGTCTGCCTGCGGGATTGGGTGAACCTGTCTTCGACAAGTTTGAGGCACTGCTTGCGCATGCGATGCTGTCCATTCCTGCCACAAAAGGGTTCGAGATAGGCTCGGGATTCGCCGGAACCTGTATCCCTGGTTCTCGGCACAATGACGCCTTCATCAAGAGGAGCAATGGATCGCTGGGCACGCTTTCCAACCGAAGCGGCGGAATCCAGGGCGGAATTTCCAATGCCGAGCCAGTCTACTTCCGGGTCGGCTTCAAGCCACCGGCAACGATCACCCAGGCGCAGAGCACGGTGCGCTACGATGGGTCGTCGGGTGAGCTCGCTGCGAGAGGGCGACATGATCCGTGTGTCGTCCCGCGCGCGGTGCCCATCGTCGAAGCGATGGCGGCGCTGGTCTGCATGGATTTGGTGATGCAGCAGCACGCCCGTACAGGTGCCATGTCTCTCCTTCCCTCGGTCACAACATTGCCGCCGACGATGGTCATGCCGCATAAGAATTCCTGATCGGTTTAATACAGTACTCCAATACCGAGCTGTAACTTGGGTGTAATAACACGATATTGATCATGATGTGAGCGCGGCGATGGTGTCTAAGTCCACGGTCGGGGCCTTGGCCTTCTTGGTTACGAGCGCGAGATCAACATATGTATTTGTTGCGGGACCGGTTCTCATTTTCCTTCATCTTCATATACATTCTCCTTAACTCGCGTTGGTCTGGGCGAGGGTCAGTTGTGCGTCGATCAGCCTGTCTTGGACTCGGCATCAAATTGATCTCCGCTTCTTGGCTGACCCAGTTACCTTCACTTTGGATTGGCCTCGCCAGCGGGCATTTCCTCTCTTTCTTCATGCTCTTCTACTCACCGAGAACCCTTGCGCTGGTCGTCACCTTTTTACTTGCATGGACGGCACCAACGGCTGGTGCGTATATCCACAGTCTCGTGCTAGATGCATCAATGAACTCGCACTCTTTCAGCCCATAGCGTGTCCCCCCGACCACTGAAGCGGGTCGCCAACCCCTCCACGCTCGCCCTCGAGATTCTGCCGCGTCGGGCGCAGTCGTCCGCCCTCATCTCGCCGTTCAGTCTCCGGGCACCCTTGTTACCACGATCGACGACGTTGCGCTTCGACGATTCGTTCCGGCTCACGATTACGGCATTCGGCGAGACGTTCTTCCTGCATCTCCAGCCGAACGAGCACCTCATCCACCCTGCCGCACGCGTGACGTTCTACTCGACCGGCCCGGATGGCGCGGCGCACGTCGCGAGCACCCGCCCGCTGCTGCGCGAGTCCGTCAAGGCGTACGTCGGCGATGTCGTGCACCCGGAGCACACGGACGCGCGGCTGCGCATGGACGCCGCGGGCGTGGACCCCGCCGCGCACCCGGCGCGGCTCGGCTGGGCACGCGTCATGGTGCACCACCAGGGCGACGTCGGGCAGGGCCTCGCGCCGGTGTTCGAGGGCGCCTTCTCCGTGCGCGGCGTCGTGTACCACGTCTCCACGAGGGAGAACTACCTGCGCCACAAGCGCCCGGGCGATGTCGATCCCGACAGCGCGGAGGCGGACATGCTCGACTCGGCGCTCGTCATTTGGCGCGAGTCTGATGTGATGTCGGAGGACGAACACCGGGTGGCTATGGGCCTAGACCGATATGTGCCGGCTGCGCAGACGTGCGGGCACGACGGCTTATCATTCAACACGGATCCCGCGCAGAATCGCATCCTCGCGAAACAGTCGGCGGGCAATCCCTGGTCCTTCGATACCGGATTCGGACTACTGTCCAAGAGAGACGATGTCGTCGGGACAGAGATGGGGAGCAAGTTCGTCGCAGATTGCGGACGTAGCCGATTCTCCCACTGATCGATTTCACAGTTTCGTAGATTCCATCGGACAGCGAGCTGGATGTCCCAAGTCACAGAAAGTGGTGCGTCGCAGTCGCGTGGTGCTATGTCGTTCATGACGTGACTCAACTTACGGCCGCTTAGCTCTACATGGGCGTCGCAGCCGATTGTGTGTACGTGCAGAAATACGGCTCTCGGGAAAACGCGACGACGCAGATCCTCAACAACTTCAACGCGGCGAGCACGCTCTACAAGACGACATTCAATGTGAGCTTGGGGATCGTCGAGCTGCAGATCCAGGACCCGATGTGAGCCTGTCAACTGCTGTGTCAAGCGCTGTGCGATCAGGGGCTCATGCCGTGCAAAGATGTCCCAGTCCCGCTAACGTGTCGTTCCCCTGGAACGTCGACTGTAGCAATGTGACACTCAATGACCGGCTGTCGCTCTTCTCGCAGTGGCGTGGTAACAAAGGCTCCGACGGAGCGGGCCTGTGGCATCTGATGAGTGGGTGCCCCACTGGCACCGAGGTCGGCATCGCTTGGCTTGCGACCTTGTCAGTCATGCTTTACGCTCAGTGGGCGCGCACTCACTCACTCATGCTTGATTTGGTTTCACAACAGGTGTCAGCAGTCGGCGTCGGGTTCTGCGCCCTCAGTAGTTTCTGGGACGGCGGTCTCGACTGCAGGGCTGACGGAGTGGCAGGTCGTCGCTCATGAGATCGGACACAACTTTGGTGCCATCGTGAGTCCGTCATCAGCCTTTTAGCTTGCGTGTCTGATCGGCATTCCAGCACGATGTAAGTGGCGAATGAATGCCAAGAGTCCGTCTTTTTTCCATTAACGGCATACGCTAGTGTGCTGCCGGGTGTAATTCTACGAGCACATGTTGTCCGTTGACGGCAACGACGTGCAATGCAAATGCGGGCTTCATCATGAGTCCTGTGGCAGAAAAGGGCGAGACGGTGTTCTCCCAGTGCTCGCTGGGCAATGTCTGTCAGTCGGCTGGGACTTGATTATCTGGGAAAGTATGCTGATCGGTTCTTCCAGGCTCGCTGATGTCCGCCAGTGCGTACCGCACTAACAGCACCTGCCTGCAGGATCCGAACCAGACGAACCAGCGCGTCATCTCGCTCCAAATGTGCGGCAACGGGATTGTCGAAGCGGGCGAGGAGTGCGACCCGGGCGAGGGCGTGTCGTCGCCGTGCTGCGACTCGAAGACATGCAAGTTCGCGGCGGGGGCGGTGTGCGATCCGGACAGCAGCCCGTGCTGCACCTCGCAGTGCACGTTTGCGCCGACGAGCCAGGTGTGCCGGCCGTCGAAGGACGCGCAGTGCGACGTTGCGGAGACGTGTCCGGGCAACTCGGCTGCGTGTCCGGTGGACGCTGTGATGCCCAACGGGCAGAGCTGCGGGACCGGGGGCATGGCGTGTGCGAGCGGACAGTGCACATCGGTAGCACGTGAGCATCCCGTTTCCTTCGGGGTGTGTGAGCTGATGGGTGATTCGTCGACGTAGTGCAGTGCCAGCAACTCGGCGCGTCGATGAATCTGACGCAAGCGTGTCCGAGCACAAGCTCCGGGACATGTCAGGTTTCGTGCCAGGATCCGTCGCGCGCGAACCAGTGTATCGTGCTAACCGCTTTGCTCGTGGATGGTTCTCCGTGTGGTGCGTAGTACCTTGCTAGTGTTTCGCACGAGTAGACTGAATGTCACCGCCCCCTCCCTTGCTAGGATATGGCGGTGTCTGTGCGTCAGGAAAGTGCCAGTCCAGTGGGCTCATTAGCACCGCCAAGGTACGAAGAAGCCGGGAAGCACAAGGCAAGACCCGAAACTGATCAGCCATTTTTGTTTGTGTGCTAGGCGTGGTTCGTGCAGAACCTGCAGATCGCGATCCCCATTGCTGTGATTGCAGGGCTTATTGGCATCCTGGTCATCTGGTTCTTGGCGAAATGTGCGTCGTTGGTCTGCTTGGCTTCTAGTCACTAGATCTTCTCATACTCGTGGGACAATAGCAATCTGGCGTTGCTGTGCGCCCAGGCCGAGGTACTCACAGACACAGATCATGCCCGCCGGCGGCGCTCCCCAGATGCGCCATCAGAGGCTGGGAAGCGGGCCCTACGGGTGCGTGCTTGATGGGTTACATAATTCGATCCTTGGGTGTGGAACTGACAACTCGCCAGCGAGTCTTCTGGACCGATGTGGGGGCCACCGCCGCCCGGACGATAGCCTTCGCCGTCGCTGCTGTGGTAGACACTCTCGCTTTGCTGTGCTTTATCTTATTTGTACGATTTACTGTGAAGAATACAACGGGTCTGCGTAATACCAATAATTGTCTGAGACATGTACGATACGATACATTCAGTGCGGCAGTCGGCTTTTGCGGTCGCCGGCGATTAGTGGTGGGGAGAGCGTCGAAGTCGACGGCGACGGGGCTGCATACGGCGGCGGGGCGAGCTGCGATGAGGCGGGGGGAGGCGGAGGAGGAGGAACCGCCTGGCCCTGGCCCTGGCTCTGTCCCGAGATGCGCAGGTCGAACGAGACGGGCAGGAGTCCCGGCGACAAGGGCGCGAAGCTAAACGTGGTGGAGGAGGAGGCCGCGGAGTGAGGCGGTACTGCAGTGTGTCCGCCGCCGAGCGAGCTGCGGCTGCTGTGATAGCTCCCCCGGGCGTCCTGCGCGTCCGCATACGGGGACGCCAGCAGGAACGGGGTCACGTCTGTCAGGCTCGGCTGGTCCTTGAGGTGCCTGGTGCGGAGGCGGTGGTGGTGGTGGTGCTCTTGGTGCTTCTGGCGATTCTGAGCGCGCACGAGGCGGATAAGCACAGCCGCGATCACGGCGAGGGCCAGCAGGATGAGCGAGCCGAGTACGATGCCTGCGACGGCGCCGCCGGAGAGTCCGCGCGCGGGAATGCGGCGCGCGGCGACGCCCACTGTGCTGTCGCCCGACGCGGGGTAGTTGAAGATCCTGCGATCGGATTAGATTAGATTGGGGGAGACGGATTCCCGGTTGGGTTGAGTCGAGTCAACAAACGAACGAATCGACTCACACGTAGACTGAGGCTGCGAATGGGGCCCCGAGAAGATACGTCGTTTGGCTCGGATCGGTCCATTCTTGGATGGCCCCGACACAAGATCCGTCCGTCTGGCGGACGACCAGCGAGGAACCGGAGAGCGTGGTGGTGACATTGCCGATCGTAATGGCCAGCGCGATATCCGTATCGCACGGAATCTGGAACACGCTCGCGAGAGAGGCTGCTGGCGCTGGCGCTGTCGGAGTTAGGCCCCCCGGATCCGAGTTGGGTATGTCCGCGTCTATGTACAGCAGATTCGTTAGATCGCACGCGTGTCGAGTGGGTTCGTTGCGTCTTACAGATCGCGCGCGTGGCGCTTTGCGGAAACACGAACCCAGTGTAGGCCGGCTCGATCGTGGCGAACAGCCCCGCCCTGGTCTGCGAAACGTTGAAAGAGCTGTTACCTAGACCGGCGACGCTCCAGGCGTCAAAGGGGACGACCCAGCTCGAGGCGGTGGCGCCCGGCAACATCTTCCTGGTCGCGATCTCGCCCTGATACGCACTCGGATCTGTGTGTAGCCAATGCAGGACTCCTCCTCCCCCTGCATCGGATCCGGGCCCATTCAGCGCCATCCCAAACGTGAACCGGCCCCGAGACGGATTGTCCGCGAGCCAGTTCGCGGCGGGCGAATACGCGGAAGGAAACGGCCCGAGACCGAGC